ATTTATATTTATTATAACGATTTCTGCACAGTATGGATTATTCTAAGCTTATTCAACTTTCTTGGATTTGAGTTAGCAATAAACAAAATTTTCTTGATTTTGAGGTTTTTTTCTTCTACTTTAAAAAACCTTTGGCCCTATTGTCCCATGTCAGCTAGCTAAGTAGTAGCAAATGACAAAGTGAAATAATGAGTAGCAAATAAATAGTAATAGGAGAACTCAGATACAATATTATGCCTAGGTTTTTGTTTTTAAATTATGGTTGTTGATGATTTTTTATTTGTTTAAATAATAATGGATTCTTTTTTACCATGGGCACTTACTCTCATTCAGAGTCCTCTCTTGACTCCAAATCTAAAGCTCTTCCTTTGTCCATGCTGCCTCACAGTAAAGCTTAAAAGGACCCAAACCCAAAACCAAACCTGTTACTGTCCAGCCGATTCTGACTCATAGTGACCCTATAGGACAGAGTACAACTGCCCCATAGGGTTACCAAGCAGCGGCTGGTGGATTTGAACTGCAGACTTTTTTGGTTAGCAGCCAAACTCTTTAACCACTGCACAGCAGGGCACCTAAAAGGACCTAGATGATATTATAGTAAGCCTGTAAGTATTTAATTATTCCCTTTACAGATGTGGAAACTGCTGCCACTTAACAAAGGTACTTACTTGCCCAAGGTCATCACTTGTAAGAGCAAGAGCTGGAAACTAGTGACTAGATGCTCATTGCTGGGTTTTGTTTTAAATCAATAAATGCTCACTTAAAACCTGCTCCTTCTAATGAGCAGATTTTCAGGATAAACATCAGAGAGGTATTAAAAAATAAACTTGTTCCATATTCCAGACACTTGAAAAAATATATAACCGATAAGTAACTTTTGTGAAACACTTTTCTTAGTAACTTCCTGGGATATCAAACCACAATTTAGTGGACAGGAGAAGGTATGTGTAGATTCCATGCTATGGTGAAAGGGCAACTAACATGTAATCTACAAGAGGTCAGTCATGGGGCATCTCAGCAGAGACAAGGTCAAGCCAACTCCTTGCTAGTAGTTATCCAAAATTCATACTGCATCTGCTGAACTCTGAGTAAAGGTTGTTCAGGAAATCAAATTGATATATGCAAAAATTTCCAGGTGTGTTTTTAAACATAATAGTAATTAATAAAACCTCAGATTTAAAAAATTCCTTTTATAAATTAGACATTTGATTTGGTCAGTCTTTTGTGATTTAGGAGAAATTTTGTGCTGGTAAAATTCATATGCAATCTCTAAAACTTTTTTCTTTCTAATTTCAAAATAGATATATTCATTGTAGAAATGTTAAAACATCTAAGAAGCCAAAATAAAAGCAAAACAAAACCTACTCATATATACATCACCTAAGGAGCCCTGGTGGCGCAATGGTTAAGTGTTTGGCTGCTAACCAAAAGGTCGGCAGTTGGAATCCACTAGCGGCTCCACTGGAGTAAAGATTTGGTGATCTGCTCCCATGAAGATTCCAAACCAATTGCTGTCAAGTCAATTTTGACTCACAGCGACCCTATAGGACAGAGTAGAACTGCCCCATTGAATTTCCAACGAGCGGCTGGTAGATTCGAACTGCCGACCTTTCGGTTAGCAGCTGAGCTCTTAACCACTGCACCACCATAAAGATTGTTGTTGTTGTTAGGTGCCCTCGAGTCGGTTCCAACTCATAGCAACCCCACGTACAACAGAACAAAACATTGCCGGTCCTGCATCATCCTCACAATCATTGTTATGCTTCAGCCCATTGTTGTAGCCACAGTGTCAATCCATCTCATGGAGGGTCTTCCTCTTTTTTGATGGCCCTCTACTTTACCAAGCATGATGTCCTTCTCCAGGGACTGATCCCTCCTGATAACATGTCCAAAGTATGTGAGATGCACTCTCACCATCCTTACATCTAAGGAGCATTCTGTTGTACTTCTTCTAAGACAGATTTGTTGGTTCTATTGGCAGTCCATGGTAGAGTCAATATTCTTTGCCAACACCACAATTCCAAGGCGTCGATTCTTCTTTGGTCTTCCTTATTCATCGTCCAGCTTTCGAATGCATATGAGGCGATTAAAAACACCATGGCTTGGGTCAGGTGCACCTTAGTCTTTTCAAGGTGACATCTTTGCTTTTAAACACTTTAAAAAGATCTTTTGCAGCAGATCTGCCCAATGCAATGTGTCTTTTGATTTCTTGACTGCTGCTTCCATGGGTGTTGGGATTGTGGATCCAAGTAAAATGAAATCCTTGGCAACTTCAATCCATAGATTACAGCCTAGGAAACTCTATGGGGCAGCTCTACTCTGTCACATTGGGTCGCTATGTGTCAGAATAGACTAAACAGCATCTAACAACAACAGCATTGTTTATAATGGATGAAGCTCAGATTTTTATAAAGTTGATTAAATATATATATATTAAGTAAATAATAGTACAAGTATGCAAACATGTAAAAAAAAATCTTGAAGGCTGTATGAGAATAACTTTGGAGTTAACTGCTATTGAAATGGGAATTCTAGTGCTGACTGCCCCTGAGCAGTTACGTTCCAGAACAAGTCACTTCCCCTCTGTGTGCTTCAGTTTGAGTACAAATGGTAAGCATCTGGAAATACTGGTCTTTCTGCTGGAAGGGATGCCTCAACACATGGAAAATCTTTCAGCTGAGTCTTTTTTTTTCTGAATTTTGGTTAATCTAACCATAGTTCACGTGAGATTCCTCTCTTTCCTAAAAAAGAGTTTAGTTTAGTTTGAATGTCATGTTAAATTATGAGTTAAGCAAATACTGACTTTAAAATGAACTAAAATAAATATATTTTAGCAAAATATTGCATCTCAATAGCTCCATAGTAAAAACAGAAATGTTTAAATTACTCCTAGTCTCCTTATTGGTCAACTCTTGTATTGTTTTAAGTAAGTCAAAACTTCAAAGTACTGTAACCAATTAATGTGATTTTGAAGCTAGTGGTTCATGAAGTAGATCTTGCATTGTAATTTTTACTTGCTTTTTTTTATTCATCTTTGTATCCCTAGTATTCAGTTCTAAGCATGGCATGTTGTAGATGCTAAACCAATACTCAGTGGTCAAATGACTATTAAAATATGAATGCTCCATATTCCATATTATGATAACTAGTTTGCTAGAACTATACATTTAACTTCTACCTATGGAAAAGGCTTTGTTTTTGAATTTTAGAATATCACTACTGAAACATCTTGTTTGGTATCCAAAGCTATATATATAAAGATTCATACAGAATATGTTTACTATAAGTTACTGCAATTTCTCTTCCTTTGAGAGCTGCTCAGAATGACACATGCACCTTTGTCTTCCTTTAGTCATTTCTCCCTAGGTATGGACACTAGTCAATCCCTATGTTTGAATATGGGCTTATAAGAATATATTGATTCTCCTATAACTGATCAGAGAGCATGCTAGTAACTTCACTGTCCTGATATTTGGAGAGTCCATAATTATCCAATTTGAAGTTTTCAGAAAAACTTTTTGAAGACTAAGTAACTTACAACACGAGTAAAAGATACCAAGGATTCAACATAATCAGTTGAAAAACACAAATAGTAAAAAGACTATATTCAACTGCATAGAAAAGTTTTACAGAGGCTGTGAAACACCATTAAGTTTAAGAGGTGTGCAACTATATGGTCACATGTTTTAGAATGGAATAATTAAGAGTTCTGAAAACACCATATTCTGTATTCATCTACTCTGTTTTGCTAAAATAATCAGTTTAAACAGCTTTCCAGCTGAAATTTAGAAAGTGGGAATATCAAACACATCTTTTTTTAAAAATAATTTCAGGAATCAGGAGGACAGTTCCTTTTTTGATGATAGGTGTAAATATTTGAAACCATGACATTAGGGCATCAATATACTTGTTTCAGTTGAAATTCTATCTTTTTACTGTAGCCTCTGGACCAGCTCTTCATTCTTTCCATGATTCTGTCCTGCAAGTTTGATGGAAGCCTTCTCCCTCCCCCGCTCCCCAAATATTTTCTTTGAGAGATTTGGGTGCCTTTTTTTCGTAAGGCTTTAATAACCAAAATGATTTATAGACTATCGCTATCCTGCTAGAGTTGGTCAAGTTAAGTGGATCATATTTGCATGGGTCACTCTGATTATAAGATTCCACTGTTTCTTGAACTAAAATTGCTAGATTTATTATTCTATTAATGCTCATAAAGTCAGTCTTTTGATGAGCCATAATTTCCCTTTATGAGGAGTCTGTATGCCAGTCACCCATGATAAGGGAGAAGAAAAGTCCAGACTTCCAACATATTCATAACCCCTGGAACATTAATAAAGTCTTGAAATCCCATATGATTCTAGGGTATAATGACATAGGGTACAGTAATAAAAGGTAAATTTCAAGGTGTTACCATGCCTCTATGAGACTTTCCTCACATTGTTGGCTGTGTACAAAACCTAAGCTTTTCCATTATCATTTAAAAATTTAAAAATTAACCCTCCTGGTGGAGAAGATAACTCACCAACTAGGCTTGTCTCTTATCTTCGTGAATATTCTTAAGGAATGAAATAACAGATGGTGTGAACTTTTCCCTGTTTATCTTAATGGTCTTCTAATGGCAAAGCATAATTACAGTTATTAAGTGTCACGTTTATTAAGGTTTTCACTAAAATTTTCAGCGATAGTGCTGTCCTTGACTGACCCAACTTTTATTTAACCAATTGTTTTCCAATCATTTGAAAGAAAATTGCCCCGAATAAAAACAAACAAGCAAACAAAAAGCCCCCACTCCATGTTTAATTTCTTTCAAATATTTTAGTTGGAAAGTAGAGACACTTGTAACTGTTGTAAAAAGTTGAAAAACGTGTATGGCATGATTCATTGAAATTTTTGCCTTACTACATTAAAAAAAACCTGGGATATGCGAAAGTTTTCCAATAGTTTGCTTCACAGCTTTGGGAAGTCAATATGCTTACAAACTAGAGGACTCGGTTTGTCTTCTAGACCATTCTGTGGTTCTGTATCTGGGATGGAAACTTAATCACAGTACCTTTTCCCCTCAACGCACCCTCTTTAGAAATCGAAAGCCACCTATCTATCTCCCCATCGGTCTTTATGGATCTCCTGCTGCCTTTGTCCCTTCTAGACGTGGAGTCTTGGAGAGGAGGCTTGGTTTCCAAGGATTGGAGCGTTTGAAGGGCGGGGCCATCTCCAAGTCCATCTCCCCTTTTTGTCCTCTACTCCTGGGACTGGAGGGTGGAGCCAGGTCCCCCCACTGCTGGTTCGGGAGCTCTCTATCTCGGTCGCTCGAGGTGAGTCTGAAAGGGCGACAGCCCATTTAATTACAGCGCAGGTTAATTTCTTGAGTTCACCGCAGTCAGTCCGTCAGCCGCTTCCCCGGTCTTTGCCAAGTGGGTTTATGAGGTCTGAGGCGTGTTGAGGCGCGCTCACGTTCTCGCGAAAAGCTCCTCCCCAGGGCTCATTCCCCGACTGCGGGAAGCCCTTTCGTGCCCCAGGAGCGTTCGGTTTCCTCTGACCTCGTCGCTTCTTCTCCCCTCCCCACCGCCTGGATCCCCACGCCCCTACCCCCGGGGAAGGGCGGCCCCCATCTTAGCACTTCCGACCCACGCCAACCCAGAAGGTACCTTCACGTCGATGAAGATTTTATCGCAGCCTCCAAAACCCAGCAGTAATAGGAGCTTTCAGCCTGAAATACGATTGTTATTTTCCCGGTGTAGAGCTTGACAGAAAAAGTCAGCTTTTTATTAAAGACAAAGAGGTAAATTATCAGCCCCGGCACTGAAGGGACAGCGGAGACCTGGCGCGCTTCCTCCCGTTGCCACGAGGAATTTATGGGGGAGCGGCGGACAGCGATCAGACACCCCTGGGGTCCCAGAGGGAGGAGCTTGGGGGCAGAAGGACTTCCCCAGGTCCCTACAGGCACCTGGAAGGGGAAGTCCTCCCAATTCTGCACAAAGCCAGGATTAGTTCAGCCTGCAGCAGCCTCCCCATCCTCCTCGCTTCTTTCTTCTTTCTCTTTCTTTGACTCCCGTTTTCCTTTCGTCTCCGTCCGTCCTTCTCTCGTCTTCTTCTTCCTACTTTTTTCTCTTCCCTCTCCTCGTTTTACCTCTTCCACCTCCTCCTTTCTTCTCCACCGCACGCGTAGAGTGTCATTTATTTATTTATCTATCACCCCGCCATCAACACCCTTTAAGGGCTCCCAAGCTTTTCACTGTGAGTGGGAGGAGAAAAGGGCAGGAAGTGTTGAAGGGGGTGAAATTGTGCCTCAGGGCGAGAGATTCTGCCCAGGAATATACGAATGGGAAAATCTTGGAAAACAAGGATTTAGATCTATGAAACCACCCTGTCCGATGGGGACCAACTCCGCGCGCGTCTCCTCCCTCTTTATTGTATGGATTTGTGGGTGTAGCTCCCCGGATAGTTGCTTGGGGCGGGGGGCGGCGGGTATTAAAGAGCACCGTCTTGCTCTGGATCCTTACACCGCGCCGTCTCCACCGGATGCGTGCTTCCCAATGCAAAGGAATCCAGAAGCATCCCCAGTTCAGATACGGACAAAAGAAACTTTAATTAAGGTCTCTGCCCCGCGCGCTGCTTACTTCTTTCTCCCGAGGCTGTTGATGCCCAATTTGAGGATCCGAGAAATGGAAATGGTACAACCAGCCTATGCCCTTGAACTTCAATTGCTCCTGTATTGATTTTTTTTTTTTTTTTTGACACCGAGCCCCCTTCCCCGTCCCATAGCGAATGAAGCCTAAGAGACATCCAATCTGGTGAGGGGTAGGGGGAGCCCCTTGCAAAAGAGAGAGTTCTGAACGATTTGGGGAAAATTACGCTAAATAAAAATTAAAGGTGTGAAAGCTTCATCTTGGCTCTCTTGTCTTCAACACCATGACACCTTATCATTAGGAGCGCTGATTGTTACTTTCCGAGGCTTTAGATTATCAGCCAGAAAGTGCAAACAACGCGGTGCTGGAGGGTGTAAAGTTATTTAAGTAGACTTTTTTTTTTCCTTTTGGTGCGCCGTCAAAACATTTCACAAGTTGGGAAAAGAAAGTGGTGGTTCCGAGGCTCGGAATGATGGGCTCTTTCCCTCCTCTACCCCCCTTTCTATATCAGAAGAGAAATAAAACGCACAATGAACCTTTATTTCGGGGGAGAAGACTTCAAAATACGTGCCACTAATGGACAATTTGAGCTTTTCACTGGAGATACTCACACCGCAAGCTGGAGAGGGATTAAAAAGCCCCACGTGGTTGATCTGGGTTTAGGCTTGCAACCTCCAGTTCCCATGTATGTTCTTTGCAAAGATTGACCTCTAGATGGATGCGTGTGAGGGACCCGCTGGGCCCAGGGCTCGGCGCCTGGGGCAGCAGGGCTGATGGTGGGAGCGCTATGAGCGGTCGGTCAGGATCCTCACTGGCGGCTTTCTCTGCCGGCCAGGGTGGCCGGGCGCCTCCGGGGCGCGAGCGTGCACGCCTCGGCCAGGCGGACCGGCTCCATGCACCGCCTTCTCCGCAGGTCTTTATTCATTTCATCTCTCTCTTCCCCTTCTCCTTCTTTGCCTTCTTCTCTTCCTCTTCCTCCTCCTCCTCCACCACCGCCTCCTCCGCCACCGCCACCTCCTCCTCTTGCATCTCACTGGTCGGGCTCTGTGTTGCTCTGAGTGACAAAGACAATGTCCCAGCCTTAACTTTGCAACCACCTTGCCTCCTTCTGGGGTTCAGCGAGGGGGGGTGGGGGGGTGGAGGACAGCAGCCGCAGCCTCAGCATCTCCTCCAGCTTCTCTTTCTGCTCTTCTCCAGCTCTTGGATAATTCTTCCCTTTTGCCCCCAGTCCTTTTCTCATTTTTCTTTCTTTCTTTCTCTTTTCTCTCTTTTCCTCCTGCACGTTGTTGTTGTTATTAGAAAGGCTTCGCGCACCCCCTGGTGCTCTGGCGTTTTGTGTGGCAGGAGAAGATTGTCTTCCTTCTCTCTTTCTGTCTTGCTTTCTCTCTCCCTCTGGTTGCTCATTATTCAGAGAGAGACACAGAGGGAGGGAGACAGAGAAGAGAGAGAGCGCGCGAGGGAGAGGGAGGAGAGGAGAGTGGAGAGAGGGGAGAGAGTGAGAGGGTGAGGGAGGGAGGGAGAGAGAGAGAGAGACGGATATCTCAGGTCATCTGCAGCTGCAGCGAGTCTGAGGAGCCGAGGAAGGCAGGGAAGATGGCGATCCTCCATTGCTGAGACCCGGCAGAAGCACATGAGACTCCTTAACAACTTCCACAACAATAACCCAAGCAGGAAGAGGAGAAAGAGAAAGAGGATAAGGAGGCGCTGGGGCTGGAGAACCCGAAAACACCTCCCGGCGCCGGGACGCTTCTTCTGTAAGTTACTGCAATTAACCACCACCTCGGGGTGGTCTGAGTGAGTGCTCCGGGGAGAAGAGCGCCGGGTGGTGGAGGCACAAACGCGCTCATTCATTCGGCCAAGAAGGGTTGGTGGAGCGGGGAGAAGAGGAAGTCCCCTGCATGGACTGGCTGTAGGAAGAGGAGAAGAAGCAAGAGAGAAGAGGAGGAGGAGGGGGAGGAGGGAGAGCAGGAGGGGGAGGAGGAAGAGGAGGAGGAGAAGCGAAGGAGGAAGAGGAGGAGAAGGTGGTGGTGGTGGCAGTGGAGGTGGCTGTGCTTTTTCTGCTGGCTGCTGCTTCTGCTGGGGGGAGCGGAGCGCTGTGGCTTGATTAATTTCGTGTAGTTCTACGAAGAGAAGAGAAAATGAAATATGAGTGAGAAGAGAGCTGGAGGCTTAGGACGGATGCTCGGAGTGCGGGGACAGAAGTAGGGACAGAAAGAGGGGCGGAGGGCTGGAGGCGAGGAGACCTGAGCCGAGAGTCAGAGGGAGCGAGCGAGGGGCAGAGGAGGGAGCGCTCGGAGCGGCCCCGACCTGAGCGGGTTGACCTCTTTCTTTCTCTGTCCCTCTCCTTCCTTTCCCCTTCTCTCTCTGCCTGCCCCCCGCCCGATGGCAAAGCCGTGCGGATTGGCACCCCCCTCTTCCTCAGGTATTTGGCTCTCTCTCTCCGAAGTTGGGATGCGGGGTCGGGATGTGTTGGGGGTGGCTGCTGCTGCTGGTGCTGCGGGTGAGGAGAGAGGCAAGGAGCTGGGGGCGCGGGCCGGGTGGGGGGCGCAGGTTCAGGAGGCAGCTGAGGAGCTGTCTCTAGGCTGGGGGTTCAGAAGCGCCTGGTAGAGGAGGACAACGGTTTCTGGAGAGGAGAAGCCATTACACACATTTGGCTCTCCTCTTAAGAAGGGAGAAAGGGAGGCAGGGGCCTGGGGGGTGCCCCACTCCTGGTGCAGTTCCCGGGGGTCTGCCCTCCTTCCAGGCACGAGGGGAAACAGCAGCCGCCCCCCATTGGAGCAGTCCCTCTCTTTCCCTTTCTTTATCTCCCTGTCCTCCATTTGCAAGCTGTCTGCTTTGGTTCCAGTCCAGACTCCAAAACACAAAGCTCCTTCTCACGTTCAGTCTCCAGGCTTTTCACCATTCCTGAAGGAACCCTCATTTTCTTTTCATTGTAGCTTCTAACCTACAGAGAGGGAGGGAGGTTGCCTGGAGTTCCTTTTATATTTCTCCCCTACCAAAAAAAAAAAAAAAAAAAAAAAAGTTCATTTTTAAGCACGCGTCTGGGATGGGGAAAGACCAACCAGTTGGGGCTTTCTCCCAGGGCTCCCGGGAGCTCTGTGTTTGCTGTTTGGTTTGCTTTGGTTTTGTTTCTGGAGGTGGCTTTCAGGTTTTTGGAGGAAGTGACTAGTTTGGTTGAGAGCTGGGAACTGAGTCAGGTAAGCCGTGTCATGTTGTAACTCCACCAGAAAATGGAGGAGAGCGGGTTTCCAGGAGACAAAGCTGAGATGAGAAGTGTTTATAAAATTATGGATGTCTCCATTTTGAAGCTCTGCTGGTGATGGCTGGAGGAGGAGGCTTGCCTGCCTACTCCTGCTCCCTTTCCTAAGGGAAATCATATGGTGGTTCCTCACTATGGCTTCATTATGCAAGGGAATGAGGGGCTTTTAAGGGTTGCTCAGATTTTTCTCCCCCCAAAAGAGTACTTTCACAAGTTACAGAGCACTTGTTTTCATTTTAAAGTAAACTTTTGGAATTTTTTTCCCCTTTTGAGTGGACCTGAAGGGTTTTGACCTCCTTCAGGAAAGGGAAGACAGAAACCTTAAACATTGCCAGTGAGGCCTTCACACAACTTTAAGCTGCTCCAGGTCTCCTGAAAGTCACCAGGGAATGTTATTTCTTCATTGTGAAGATGGTCGTGGCCCTAAACTGAGATTTTGGAGTTCTGGGGCTTGGTTATCATCATGTTTTGAATGTATTGCAAGACTTCATTGTCTGGTTTGGAGTGATTTCTGCAAAAAAAAAAAAACACAAATCCCGCAAGATCTCAGAGGAACTCTAGGACTGACTGACACCAGTTTCTTGAGGTTCTACATTTCTCTTCAGCTTGTTCCATTTGTGCATTAGGCCTTCTTTAGTTCCTTTGTTCCCCCTTTCTCTCCCATTCTGCTATTTTTTTCTGTGTTCTCAAGTACTGTAAGTCTTCAGAAATATCAGTATGTCTT